GAACCGGGCCGGACCCGCCGCCCGGCCTGCCGCGGGGCCGCGGCCGGGCCTGCCCCCTCACACGGGCACCTTGGAGCCGGCACGGCTACCCTAGGCGGAGGTTTATATTGTTTGGTTACGTGGAGCTCGTTCGTCCTCCCTGCTCGGGAGGCGAGACGGTTTTGCGCCCAGACACCTTTGCTTCCTACGGAAGATCTTCGGAGCTTCCCTATACGTTTGGGTAACCGAATATTTTCATTGGTAATGCCATGGTGCTTGTGACATGGGTTAGCCCGACGGCAAAGTGCAGGCTGGTGGTTATGCCAGCATCCCAAACAGCATCGCACGGGGGCACGGTCACATCCCATAGAGAGCAGTAGCTATCAGCTGGTCACAGTGCCTGGAATATCCCGTGGCCTCTGGTTGCCTATCTTGATGCTCCACTTTGTAAGCTTATCTTGCTGGCTTCAGTGGGGTGTGTCGCACGTTAACAATATGACTCATAGGATAAGACACGTTCTGCCTATTCCTGCTGTCACATAAAACTCAAACATTATTTTTAAGACCTTTTAGTACTGTTCAATTACTCTGAACCAGCTGGATTGCAAATTAAGTAAAATTAGGCTCATACACTTGGGGAAAAGAGTCAGACACAGAGCAATAGGGGCGTATCACAGGCGTGCAAAAAAGAAATGAAAAAGGTGCTTGTTTGCAGGGCAGAAACACTAGATGCAATCAATAGTACTAACCATGCTCAATAATGAATGTGATTGAATGCATTAGGCAGACTTCTGACACATCAGATGAAAACTGCACACCAAGCCTTTTCACAAGGATTTACAGTCACTAGGCACTTTGTTATTTTACTACGATTTTTTTTCTCAGACCTCTAGTTCTGCTTCTTATCCACAGTAACTCTTTTCAGCAGCTAATGCAGGTCAGCATTGATCTACTATGTAGAACTGATTACTTGTAAGGAATTGCATGTTTCCTTTGGATTCTACCTCAGTACAATGACTAGATATTCTCAGAGGAGCTTTGCCTCCTCCCCATTCATTATCCCTTATTATGTTCACAAAAGACATATGGTAGATATTCTCTGAGCCTGTTTTATCCCCTCCTTTTTCATCCCTTCTTTCTCTGGTGGGTTCAAAATGAATCGTGGGACTCCTTTCGAAACAAGCAGAGCTTTTATTCAGCAGTTCTGCAGGAAGAACCAACACAACACATGTGGGGAACTGGGGATTTAGATTTCCTTCTGTCTAAAAGCATTCCAACCCAACTTTCCTTCCCAATACCCTACTCAACATTTTGAAAAATGGTAGTCTATACCAGCAAGCATCCTGAGGCTCTGTAATCATGCATGTGTAATCATATTTTGATTCTGTAATGATTTTCTTTATTGCAGACACAGTGTGAAGTCCTTCCAAAACTCCATATTATATTGTATCTCCCTCTTTTCCCTGCCTCATGCCTCTAGCATTTTTCCATGGCACAGCAATGGTTGGTAGTTAGAGCACTCTTCCAGGAAGTGTGGGGTTTGCCCTTTCAGACATAAATGGCTATAGAAACCAGCTTTTCCACCTTATATGTGAGTAGTATAATGAATATGCTACTAAAAACAGGTGTGCTAATCTATATGCTATTAATAAATAGGTGTGAACTACATCTTTACTGCATGTAGTTCAAAGTGCTTGTATTTCCTACTGCTGCCTAAGTTAGCTATCTAGAAGTAAGGCGTATAGTTCAAAGGTGGAGTCTCAAATTGCATCTAATTTTGGGGTATCTACAGTTGAAAGAGAATGTAGCAGCACTGTGCTGTGCCCACAACTATGTGCTGCCACCACATTTCTTGTATTAGATTTGGAATTTGATCCATTTAATTTGTTGCTGCACAATCAGCTATTCCAGTTGAAAACTACCTCACTGCAGAGAAGCTCCCTGTTGGATCGTGTCACACCTCTGACTCACCTTGGAATTAGATCAGGCATGTGAAGAGGTGGGAAGGATGGCAGTGGGACAGTACTTCAGCACTCTTGGTCAGGAAAAACAGGCATGTCCAGGGGATTATTCATCTGTTCTATTTTGGACCTCATTCTGAAGATGGCCTCTGCAGCAGTGACTCAGTTGATTTCACAGATTAGGCTATCTGTCCAACAGTTCTCTGACCTAGGGCTTTTCTCTAGACAGCCTTATAGCAAGTTTTAAGTAGGGTGTTGTTTTTTTTTTAAATATGTGTTACTTTTGTCTGAAGTAAGCAATCTCAGATGACTCATGCAAACCTATCTTTTTTCTTTGCACACTTCTCTTTTCATATAGTACTATTGTTCAGATACAGCTAAGAGGTGATAGAATGGCTTGGGTTAGAATGGACCTCAGAGGTAATTTAGTTCCAGTCCCCCTGCCATGGGTACGGACACTTTCCACTATACCAGGTTGCTCAGATCCCAGTTCAATCTGGCCTTGAACCACTGCCAGGTTTGGGGCATCCAGAACTTCTTTGGGCAACATGTTCCAGAGCCTCACCACCTGACAGTAAAGAATTTCCTCCTGATATCTCAACTAAATCTACCCTCTTTCAGTTTAAAGCCCTTGTCTTATTGCTGTGTCTTTACAATATCCTTGTTTAAAAGTCCCTCTCCAGCTTTCTTGTTGACACCCTTCATATACCTGAAGGGTGCAATGAGGTCTCCCAGAGCCTTCTCTTCTCCAGTCTGCAAAGCTCCAGCTCTCTCAGCCCATCTCCATGGCAAAGCTGCTCCAGACCTCTGAGCATATTTGTGGCCTCCTCTGCACTCACTCCAGCAGGTCCCATCCTTCTTATGTTGGGGTCCCCAGAGCTGAATGCAGTACTCCAGGTGGAGTCTCATAAAGGTGGGTATTTAGTTAATTTCCAGTGTAATGCACTTCCTGGATTTTAAAGATGTGACATACTTCTAAATTTGATTGTTTTGTTTATGTTGTTTATATAATTTATTATTTTTTAAATTATGACAAGAGTTTATCCATATGAAGATAAATTCCAGATTCTGATGACACACAATTATTCATTTCCCTATGGTCTTCAGTGGGAAAGGATACTTAGGAGCAGTAACTTCTAAATAACAATCTGCTGGGAAAGTTCTAATGTTCTTTATAATCACTCAATTGACACCTATCTGCATTAGACAAGCATTTTCTTAAAATAAGGCAAAACTATTGTAGTCATGGAGGTCCATGCAGTTCCAGTTTGCTGGGGTACTATTTTATTTGCCATGCCCATTTTTTTAGCATATATTAGTTTTATAGCTGCCGCATTGTAAAAATAAGGTGTATGATGCAAGAAAAAAGTCAGGCGAGTACACTTCTAGCAAGAAGACAAATATGAAGAACAGTGATTGTCTCACAAATCAGTCCCACTGACCTTTATTTAACTGCATTTTCATTATAGTCCACTGTGTACATTGCTTTTGGAACTGGAAGTGGTGAAGAAAGGATAATCAAAGGAAAAGAGAAAGGTTCAGAATAGAGCGAGTGCCAGCCAGCCATTTAATCACAGCTTTTGTCTTTGACAGGGCAAGTACAGAATGTTTTGGATGGCATACAAGATGCTGTAATGCATAACAATACAATAATATGACGAAGACAAAATTTTTCCCAGTTACAGGGCACATGTAGATGCTTTAACTACTGGACCACAGTGATTTACTTCCCATCTATAATTTTATTATATATGTTCTAATATTTTGCAAGTGTCCAAGCAGCATGATTTACAGTATTCATTTTTCCCTGGCCACATTAAAAATTGTGATGGTCAAACCTTCTAGTTAATATTTGCACACAGATACCAAAAACAAGGGTTTATATCTTCCTCAATTTTTCTGAATTCAAAGCAGTAATTTCAAAGCAACTCACATGAAGTTATATTTCATATATTTACACAGAAGTTTTGTTAAATTATTTTGGATAACAAGTTCATTGAAGTCAAACACAAAAATGTGTTTGAGTAATCTTATGGTAATGTACTGTGATATACCTGTGAAAGGCAGGTAAACTGTAAGGTGCTGGCTGCTGGGACCTCTGGGTGCCTGGGTTTCCCTGGGGATGCATCACTCTGTGCCAGATTCCCAACACTGCTGTAGGGAACCACTTGTCCTAGTGCTTTTTTTGGCACAAACAACTGTTCTCAGCGTGGCCAAACTGACTAACCCAATATGGTCACTTTTTCATGCTGATAACTCAGACCAGTTTTTAACCAATGATGAGGTTAAAATTAATCTATTTGTTCTCCACCAGTCTGAAGAAGGAAATAGCAATACTTCTGCTGACCACAGTGGGCATCAGATTGGAACACTACTCATTTGATAAAGAGCCCTTTTTAACTTAAGCTCTTGAAATAAAACTAACAAGCTTAGATTGTATCTGCTCTGAAACTAATATTGGAAGCAGTCTCCTCTATAGGGATTGTAGTTGTCACACAAGCAAGCTACCATTAAAATATACAGAAAATCAGAAGGAATTTTTAGTATTACTGAAGTGTGTTTTGTGAAACTCTGTGAAAAATTTACCTGGTATCTGTTGGGCAAAGTAAGAAAATTTTTCTTTGTAAGAAAAATATAACTTTTATTGCATAATCTAGAAAACAGAATTTAAGAATATATTTATGCTACTAGTTAATTTCCGAAGTGTATTTTATTTTTCTCACATGAACATTGAAGTTAATAGTACTAATTTCATTTTTAATCATTATATATATATATACACACACACACACACATATATATACACAAACACACAATTAGAATATTGGGAGTCAAGTTAACTTCTTGATACAGCCAGCCTGCAGTGTGCAAAGATTCCAAATGCACAGATCAGATCAGATCATATCTAAAATATCCCATGAAGAAAACAGTTGTACAGAGTTAAATTAGTCTATTATAGCAAAAAGTACACTGAGTTTGGATAAATTAAAAACTCAGATAAACCAAACTCAAATGAGCAGGATAGTCATCTCCCTTTAATGAACAGTGTTGTTCTTCAACACTGCAGTTCGTATTATGGTTTTGTTCCTGAACAGGATTAAATAGAATAATACACAAAGGCATCCCAGACTTAATGTGCTTTTCAGAAGAATTAATAAACCAGTGGGTTTTGGATATGTAGAATCAATAGTTTTCATACAAAAAAAAATTAAATATTCACACCAGAATTTTTGTATTTTTATAACAGAAATATAAAATTTCACTTCATCCTGTGTTCATG